GAGCGGAACTTGATGAGCTACGAGCAGAGGTCGAGCGAGTACGGCGACAGAATGAAGATTTGCGTGGAGAAAGGACAAATCTCACTTCGCAGATCCATGAGCTCCAGAACCAGAACGCTCAGCTCATCGAAGATCATACCCGCGACGTGCTCTCGATAAAGGCAAAGGAGACGCAGCTCGTTCGTGCGCGCTCAGACTTTGAAGCATCCGAGCAGACAGTACAGAACCAGCGCCGCGAGATTGATAGATTGAAGCGCGAACTCCTTAGACAGGCGCGTTCAAATTCTCCGCCAGCTACAGACGTCGGAGACCAGATATACACTGACAACGGAGTTGGTAACACCAACGGCGCGCATTTCGGTGACTCTGGCTACGGCAGTCGGGCCATGCACCCAAGGCGAGAGAGGAGTTTTGCCAGTGGGCCAGGAAGCCCGGGCGGCGATGGTAAGGAGAACTTTGATTCTCTATCCCGCCCTGGCAGTAACTTGAGCGGAAAACTAAGTCCACGAGCAGATGGTCTGTCGTCGATGTCGCGTGATGGCAGGAGCCCAACAGAGAACGGAACAGCTCAACGGGTACCTTCCGCAGGAGCCTCCGGCGCGGAAAGCTGGAAGCGCGCAGCAGAGGTTACCCAGAATCTCAAGCAGAGAATCGAGATGATGAAGGTCAGTTCCGACACCTCACACTTTGAAGAAGACCGCCGTCTTTGTTTTACTTTTAACGACGAAGCTTACAATTCCTCAGGCTAAGCAAGGTATCGGACGGCCACAGCAATAGAATAGCGACTTGCCGATTCGACCTCATTTTCTCGACGAGCAGTCATCTTTGCGCTTGCACGAACGAATTGCCGCGCTTCACCCAAAATCGAGACGGGCACACACAGATTTTCTCGAGGGCGTTTATAGGGCTTCGTAGCTCATCGCTTATCTTAGACCCTGCACCCTATACAAGGGAAAAACTAAACACCTAGGAGCCTACGTTGCTGTTAAGCTACTAACTTTATAAGTTTTTATCTTAATATAGGCTCTAGGGTGTTTAGTTTTTCCTTTACATAGGGTGCCTGCATGCGCTCTGCATGCATTTATCCGTGAGCATCTTCAACGGCGTTGGTCTGACTTGGGGCATGCATTTGTGTAATAGTGTTAGGCAGGGCAGGGCATGAGGCTTAGGATAGACCGGGGAGAAAAGCACGCGTGCAGGCTCTATGACTTGCATGGTCTTGGTGCAGAGGGGAGACATTGTTTTTCCCTTCCTTGACTTCTTCAGAGATTCCCCACACGCTTGTGTTCATTATCGCGAATCAAATAATAGATCTTATAATCTTCACTCTGTCCTCTTTTCCTACTCTTCTTCGACATCCCGTTACCGTATCGTATCGAAGCTATGACCCGTCCCTCGCCGGCCGCCTGCCCAACCAACAAGACGCGTCGCGTCAGCCCCAGGTTACCAGTCCACTGGGTCCTCACAAATAACTGTGCCGCAGACCGCAGCGACCACCCTTGGCAGCACACCCCGGACAATGAGATCGCAACGTTTTTTATCTGCGACAGCGACGTGCTGCAGGGACGCTTTTCCCCACAGTGCAGCAGCTGTAGCTACTCCACCTCAATCTTGTTACATCACGCATCGCCATACTACATCCTGCATACTGAATGCGCAGCACGCGCCACCTCTCCGTCTCAGCCATGATGGACCCGGGACTGTCGCGACGGGCGCGGAACGCGCTCGACGGGCTTGGGCCTGCGCTTGAGGGTACCGCACCAGCGTCGTTTGACCCTTTTGGCAACACGATTGATCTCAGTTGTGGGGGGAATGAGGTGTTGTATCCCGAGTTACAAAAGTTTCTGGGGGATGTTGTGAGGGATGTGGGGGCGGTTGAGGTACGTTCGCTCCGGTTTTGGAGATCGTCGGGATGCGTTCATACAAGTATAGTTTTGCGCATGTACTAATTCGGAATGAATCTACGATAGGCGTTTACGTCCCCCGCGGAATCTCTTAACGGCGGGGATTTGGGGTTGAGGAATGCTCTTGCGGGGTTCTTTAACACGTATTTCAAGCCTGTTCATGCTGTGAGGGCTGAGCATATCGTTCTTACAGCTGGGACTACGGACGCGATTGAGAATGTGATCCACGCTGTTTGCGACGATGGGGATAGCGTGCTTGTTCCTGGTCCGAGTTGTCGTAAGCATTCCTTCCACACCAAGCCCCGGTCATGTCCACAACCTCGTCCAACCCTCACTTACAAAATTGCCCTCTTTGACTGATATAACTACAGCCACCCTCTCGCTCTTACTGAAGCGAAAAGCAAACGTAACACCCATCCCCGTCATCCCACCAACCCACATCCACTGGGACAACTACCTCGTCCCCTCCCTGCAAGCCGCCTACGACTTCTCCGACAACAGAACGCGGATTAAAGCTGTTTTGTTGTCTAATCCCAATAACCCACTTTCCCGCTGCTACCCTCGAGAGACGTTACGGGAGTTACTGGAGTTCTGTCAGGAGAGGGGGTTGCATTTGATTGTTGATGAGGGGGCTGGGCTAATGGCGTTAGATGGTAAAGACGGGGGTGGGGGTGGTGGAGGAGGAAGAAGGGGGAAAAGAGGTGGTGAGACGTTTGTAAGTGCGTTGTCGTTAAATGAGCCGCTGGTACCGGAGGGAGCCGTCAAGGTCGATCCGAGTCGCGTGCATGTGGTGTGGGATGCAAGTCGATTATTCGGATTGGGTGGACTGAAAATCGTAAGTCGCTCTTCTTGTCCCCTCAAAACTGCACGGGCTGGAATGACCAGGAGCTGATTTGAGTATTTCAGGGTTGCGTGGTATCCCAACAAAACACCCCTCTCCTCTCCTCCCTGGCACTGACGGCTACACACCCCACCTCCCTCTCGACCATCTATCTAACCTCCCTGCTTACATCATCCCTCCTCCCCTCCCTTCTCACTCTAAACACATCCCGCTTGTCAACTTCCTACAACATGCTCGCTTCCTTCCTCCGACGCCACGACATCGAGATCGTGGTACCGACACACGGCCCCTTCCTCGCTGCTAAACTAGCAAAGAAGACTAGAACAGGAGAGGAGGAGAATGCTTTCTGGAGGGAGTTGGAAGGTAGGGGTGGGATCAAGGTTGCACCTGGGCGGGCGTTCAATGGGGTGGAGAAGGATGGGGGTTGGGCGAGGGTGAATTTTGCGGTTAGGGAAGAGGTTATGCAGGAGGTGGTGGGGAAGTTGGAGGATTTCTATGGGGGGAGTGGATGAGGGCGGTCTTATCGTCTGGAGTGTATAGCTGGGAGGTGGTTTGCTTGGCTGGCTTCGGCGCGTACTGTGCTGTTCGCGATGGGCGGGAACGTTGTGTTTGCTTTCCAAAGTATAAGCGTGGGCGGAGCTTGTTTTCGTCGCAGTGTATACAATGACATATGTACGGTTTTCCTGGCTTTTGGATAGAGAAGCTTGCGCTGGATTGGAGTATCTAATGGTACAATATCAGGTTTTCTTCCATGCCATGACTAAAGCGCGTGTATCCTCAAAGTGCGCCGACACCGTCCACGTACAACATACCAAGGGGATCATCTCACAAATGTCCTCCCTCTCATGATCGCACCTTTACCCGGTCCCTTGCCCGCCTCAAACTATGAGGACGTGCCCAACACCCCATCATTCTCCTCGATATACCTCACCATATCATCGATGGTACACACCTTGATCCCCCACTTCTTGCCAAAAGCCAAGCAGTCATCCCTCCTCATCATGCCCCCGCCAATCAACTCGGGCTTACCAGGCACCTCGTCGCCATCGGTAATCAACTCGCAAATAACACCAACAGGTTGCTTGCCCGCCAACCGACACAGATCGACCGCCGCCTCCGTATGCCCCCTCCTTTCACGCACACCACCATCCCGCGCCTGCAACGGCAATATATGACCCGGTCTCCTGAAGTGACTAGCTTTAGCGCTGGGGTCGGCGAGCATGCGGCATGTTAAGCTGCGGTCGGTCGCTGAGATGCCGGTTGTGACGGACGCGTCGGATGAGTCGATGCTGACGGCGTACGCGGTGCGGTTGGGGTCGGCGTTGTCGGCGACCATTTGCGGGAGGTGCAGGGCGGCGGCGCGGGAAACGGGGAGGGGTGCGCAGATGTAGCCGCTTGAGTAGCGGATCATGAAGGAGGCTTTTGAGGGGGTAAGGGCTGACGCGGCGATTATTAGGTCGCCTTCGTTTTCGCGCGAGGGTGAGTCGAGGACGATTACGAATTCGTCATTTGCTGGAAGGCGCGTTAGTAAGGGTTACGTGGGGTGAGGGGTAGGGTAGCTTTTGGAGCTGGCGGTGTTCGCAGACACGTACCGAAGGCTTGTATGACATCTGGTATCGAGTCGAACGCTGGGTGTGCGGGTGTGGGATTTGAGAGCTCCGTCGCGTTGCCGTTGACACCATTGGTACCGTGGGCAGGCAGCCCGTTTTGGAGTTCTGCAGGCATGTTTGGGGTATGACTCTGGTCCAATTACTTTCGCGTGGTATCGCCTTCTCTTAAGGTAGTCGTGTCGAGGAAGAATAACGAAGCTTGGTTGTTCCGCGTGCTTGCAAAGCGTAGAGCTCGCTACCACTTTGCTTAGAAAGAGATCTCGTAAGCCACCGGATGTCCGCGCCTGGAACCTCTGGGTATGCTAAGCTGTAGAATGGTGCTCTTTATGTATGCTGTGAGTCTGGATGTATACTGCGAGACAATGCGAGAGTTAATTGACGGAATACGAGCGGAGTCAAACGGTAGTGATGTTGCGGAACCGGATTGGATGTATCTTGTGATACATGGAGGGAGGGGTTCTTGCTCCGAGGCATCGGCGACTCGGTTCCAAGCCTCCGATGTGGCAGCGCCGATGTGTGGCTTGACTTAAGCTATCCCCAATGCGGGAGATAAGCCATCGCAAGCTCAACAAGGTGGACGTAGACAAGGTTCTATAGCTCTCGAACTACCATGAAAACACTCTACGTACAACATACCTGGAACTACTAAGCTGCGGAAGCTGTGGAAGACATGCTGTTGATGCTGCGCATGGCAGCTTCCTGAAGTTCCCGGACCGCCTGGGTATACTGACCTTGCATATGCCCCGGTATGTACGACTGGCATTCGAAAAGGAAGGCGGTCGCTGCAAGAATGGCAGAACGCTCGTCCTCTCGATTGACTACGAGGCTTGCCGTGGGAGCTTGGTGTCCGCGGATCGGAAGAAGTTGAGTGTCCCCACCTCCCAGCAGCGCGTTGCCCTCGCTCAACTCAACGCCCTTGGCTTCCATCTCCGCCTCCTCCTCGCTGTCGTCTAGCTCAACTTCATCTGCTTCCGATTCCGTCTCGTCGTCATCTTCCTCTCCGTCTTGTTCAAGCATCCATGCACTGTATTCCTGGAGATATTGGTCTCGCTGCTCAGCCAACCAGTCAAGCTCCTCACGGAGATCTTGTAGGGCAGCGAGCGAATCGGTATCGTTCTTTTCCGTTGATTTTCGTAATATATTACTGTAGGTGCTCTCCTGAGGTGCCACGGTCGAAGTCAGTGTATGTCTCTCATTCAGTCTGTACATTGGAGATCTTACTGCGGCGAGCCTCCAGTCATTGCCATCGTCCCAGTTATCCATAGCGCTCGTGAGAAGTATACAGTTTCTTATAATGTAGTACGGCGGAAGAGTTGTGTCGCTGGGAATAGTTAGTCGTAATACTAATTTTGGCGGATGCTTTGTTACTGCCACTTACGTTATATTGCGCTGAGCTGCCGATATGCAGCCAGCTATATCGCCGCTGTCGAACAGCGCTTCTGCGTCCTCGAAGGTCTTCCGATACAGTTTCAGTGCTGCGCATGGATCAGACATTTTCGCCTTCGTTGTACGCAGATTTGTGGGAGTTCCAGTATTGGGTGAGCAAAAGTGTAGGGGAGAGCAAACGCAACAACACTCAGGTGTAGACACCAGAGTTTGGATGCCAAGCATTGCGTATGGGACAACAACCAACTCGTTTGCTATGCGAGGAGGCAGAATTTTTTTTCACTCCGTTTCACTTCTCACCGGCATGCCCCTCTACCCGACTTCTGCAGATTTCATTTGGATCTCGGTCGCGTCTGCAATATCCAGCAATGGTATCAATAAATGCGCCATAAGTTACTTCTCGCGCAAGACGAGGTTCTCGACCTACACATGACAGTCTGTTCCTGATGATATGGAAGAGAAGACGTGGAAGCAGCTCACGCAGTGTCCACCCCCAGCATCGTCGTGAAATCGCCCACCCAGCCTACGGCGCCTCTGCAAGACGATGACCAGCCCGCTCGCAGTCTGCAAAAGTAGAAAAGTAGAAACTTTGGCGGTGTTGCAGCCAATATGTATGCTTCTAATAAGTCGTTGGGCAGGAGCAGTGGCAGATTGGCGTTGCACGTCTTCACGGAAGATGAGGATGAGGACAGGGAAAACAAGGGCCGCAGGGATAAGGACAATAAGCGTGTCTGAATTACGGTGTCACGCAGCGCCCGCCTAGGCAGCGTATGTTGACTGTGCATCATGGACGTTGTGGTTGCAGTCGTATAGTAACCTTCCTTGTTCTAAAGAGCGATAGTTGAACGGTTATTGACATCTCAAGGTTCTTGCCTCGGTCGGTAACTCGGATGTGGCGCTGCCGATGTGGCTTCAGGTTGCGCCTGCTGCAAGAGCGATGTCTGACAAGTCTGGATATCCTTGTACGAGATGGGCTGAGCATCAGACGTCGTGCGCTGGTGGCTTTGGAACATGGCGTTATCTCACTTTGTCATGATCACATGCGAATATGATAATAATGAGAACGTTACGTTCAGTGTACCATTGTAATAAATCCGATCTATATCAGATACAAGTGAGGGTATAATCGAAGAAAGCTACCCGCGTCTGCGCGCATTAAGGCGCACCGACGTGATAACGCCATGTATACAAAAAGGTCGCAAAATGACTATCAAAATGTCGTATACAATCTCATTATGAAAGCAAACATAGTCTACGAGGCGCGCTTGTCGGTGACGAACTCCTTGTCATCGTGAGCCGAGCTGCCTCCGCTATGCGGCTCTGAGACACCCATAGTCTCCGGGTCAGATCTCCAGAAGTCCTTCTTTCCGCTGGCGAGCCTCTTAACCCACGGGGGGAGGAGGCCGCCCTCGAGACGCCAGGTCCAGTGCTCTTTCTCGTCCTTGTTGGGAGGTACAATGCGACCACCAGAAGCCAGCTCGACGAGCCAGACGGTGCCGTTGATGAGAATGTACGAGCAGATACCGGCGATCAAACCGTAGGCGATGGAGTATGTGAAGGGCATGACGGCGATGGTGAGGAAAGCGGGGATAGAATCGCCGAGGTAGCGCCAGTTGATGTCCTTGGCCGAGGTTGCCATGAGCGAACCGACGATTACCAGGGTACAGCCGGTAGCCCAGGGAGGGATGGATGCGAAGATCGGAGCGAAGAAGATGGCGATGAAGAAGCAGATACCAGAGAACATGGCGGTAAGACCGGTCTTGCCTCCTTCAGAGATACCGGCACCGGATTCGATGTAGGCGGTGACTGGAGGGCATCCCATAAGCGATCCGATACTGATGCCGAGAGCGTCGACGGAGTAGGCGATGGAGGAGTTTTCGAAGTCCTGGGTGCGCTCGTCGATAACACCGCAGAAACGAGCCATGGAGTAAAGGGTACCAGTGCCTGGTAAAGTTAGTATGCAACTTGGGATATCCCAGGGACTTGCAACTTACAGTCCAGAATATCGACGTAGAGGAAGGTGATGAAAGCAAGACCCCATTGACCGGCGTGTTCCGAGATGTTCCATTGCTGAACAGCAAGAATCTTGCCAATCGGGTGGAAAGTAACGACCTGCTTAAAGAAGTCGAAAGCGGAGTTGCCAGTCTCGGTGTACGGGAAGTAGGTGACGCTTGTTGGGCGGGGCCACGAGATGATGGAAACGAGGAGAATGCCGATGATGATGGCACCCTTGACGCGGTACAGCATAAGCATGACGGTCAAGACACCGCCACAGAAGATACCGATCCACATGGTTGGGCTCCTCATCTTGACACTTCCTGGGCAGACGCCATCAACCTGGTCTGCGGCAACGCAACCGGCGAGTTCGAGAGGGGTCGATTGAGCACCGGTGATGAGACCGATACCAGCGGAGTAGGCGAGACCAATAATAGTCAGGTACAGTCCGATACCGACACCGGTGGCGAGCTTGATACTAGCAGGAATAGCTCGTGCAAGCCATTGTCGGATACCCAGCATTGTAAGACCAACAAAGACAAAACCCTCGACGAATACGGCAGTAAGAGCGACCTCGTAGGGGACCATGCCTAAAAAGCAATTAGCAACGTTCCATGAAGATCAACTGGTACGACCCGTGGCGCCGGTAAGCAGACCCAATGAGGGAACCGCATAACGGGGATACATAAACGGGAACGGGGAATGGCGCATTGGTGCAACGTACCTGTACCATGGAAACCAACTACGGTGTACGCAAAGTAAGCGTTCAGCCCCATACCCGGAGCCAGGGCAATGGGCAGATTGGCGAACAAGCCCATGCAGAAAGTAGTCAAAGCGGAGATGGCAGCGGTCGCAGTAACCAGATCACGTCTGACTTCCTGGACACAGAGGGCGTACTGTGGGTTGGTCTCGCAAATGGGGTCGTCCGGGAGGCCTGGGCACACGCAAGTACCACCAGTGTCTGACACGATGGATGCTACACATGGTCATCAGATGCGGTTCTGTCAACGACATCCCGCAATGGACATACAGTTAACAGAGATGATATAAGCCATGGCGAAGAAGGTGGCTAGTCCCGCGCGGAACTCAGTGAAGAAGTAGCTCCCCTTGCGCTCTTTGGGCTATAGGGCTGTTAGTGCATGTACCGACTATCGACATGCGATATACATACATGCCCTGATCCCTCGAGGCGAAAGTACCGTCCGACGGCGGAGCGCGCGACCGCGCCATTGACCTTGTGAACAAAGCCCGACATTGTGGCAGAATTTTTTCTCGACGGCACCGCGGTTGATAATCGCAAAATTGAGTTGAGTTGTGTGCGATGAAGAGGTACAGTTGATGCGGAGTAGACCGGCGAGAGGATCGACGTCAAGCTCTGCTCGATTTACCAGTGAAGGCGAAGCGAGTCTTTTAAGTCAGGGTGCGTTCGTAGCACAGGGCCTGGACGGCGGATGTGAATGAAAGTGTATCCCGCACCAAAAAGATAAGGACCAGCGGCGACGACCAACCCTGTCGCGTTCGACCTCCCGCGAAGAACCAATGACCCATATCAGGCCGATCAAGCCCTGCTTTAGTTGGACTAGTCGCGCGGCCCATGCGATTCCACTTCGCGGCAAGCTAGGCTGTCTCGGCGTGCTGCGCGTGAAGGTGACCGGCCGCTTCCCTCAGCCTAAGCCTGGGGAACGTAGAGTGAAGTCCCGGGCACGGCAGCTCGCCTTTCGCGACACCTCATCTTGGCGCATACACATGCTTTTCCCCCTCGAAGCCACGCCAGCCCTGGCGTATCAGGGCGGACGCGCCATTCGGAGGTCGCCGGCCGGCGCCCGCAGCCACGCCCTGTGGAAGTCGCCTCTTGTCCACGGGTATCTAGGACCGAATCTCTGTTATCGTAGCTGACGAGACGCACACCACGGGCGCACCTCGTCGATTGCAAATGGAATCTTGTCAATCTTCGGAATGGGTCGCTCGTGTTGGAAATAAAGGTGGAGCTAGCCCATGCGACGGTTGACGGAGACTCGCCTAGTCGCGTTAATGAAGTTCTGATAGCACTAAGTGGAGTCCTTGGAATGCCGTCAGCCTTCCACTGCCTGCAGCGCTGTTTCGCCTGCATATGTCGTCTGCCTTTGTCCTCCATTGCGCAACACGACCATCCATATTGACGTTGGTGACACCCGTGTCATCGTTGGGTCGCTTCTCCTCATATGCAGGAGCGAACCCGGCAGCCAGGGCATCGGGGACTAACTGCATGGGCTCGCAAATATATCGCAAGGAGCCCCTTGCCCAACATTCACCAACAAACGGCTTTCTACACACCACCTCCGGGGAACAAACACATCGCTTACTATACATACGATCTCGCATGAACGCTACGAGTATACTAATTGGCACGTTCCTTCTGCTGGGGTAGTCTACGCCCACGGCAAACACTCGCCGCCATCACGACCCAATAAATACTAATCAAGGACATCTAGCCTACTTGTTTGTTCTTCCTACCTCGAACACCACCATCTCGACGACTAATCTCAAGAGTCACACAAGAACGACGTGGCTACACCAATCGCCCTCCAGCCCTAGACCATGCCACCACGATACCTCGCCTCGCAGCATCTCAAAAGCAATTACGCGTCTTCTGGCCTTGTGGGACTCCACTGGGCCACATCTAGAACGCCCCGATCTCAGGTTTCAAGGCGCTTGATGCGGTTTGCCATGCTATCCGCGCCGCAGTCGTGCTGTCGCCGGATCTGGTGTAACCAACAATCCACATGGAGTATTTCGAGCGCGGATTAACGCGGCTTTCCCGATGCGCCACGGGCCGTGGTTGATCTGAAACTCGCCGCGGGGATCTAGGAGGATGGATATCGTCGCAAGGCCACCTACTTTGC